TAAATGAACTCAAGGAAGAATATTTTTATTGGAAACAGCCTTCAAATGTTCACATATACTCTGTTATTCTCTTTCTACTCTTACTATTTACAGATCAATACTGATATTTGACTATGAGATTTATGTCTTTCATCTTTTATTCTGTTTTGCCAGTATTGAGGAATACAGCGACAATCCTAGAAGTCTCTTCTCAAGGTTCATTGTATTAGTTTACAATGAAGACATCAGGTATTATACTTCATGTTGCCCTGCACACATGGAATTTCATGTTTATTTTTATGCTGTATTTTAATGAGCCAATAAAATTCAGTATTTACAGTAAAAACATACTCAAGCATTGCACATGCAGTATACTCAGTGTTTGTAATATATTCCAAATGTCCTTTAAAAGAGTACATCGCCCAGATGTTGGCAAATACGTGTATTTGCATTAACATACATGTTTAATTGTTGTTGTTGTTTTGTTTTTTTAGGTTGGATATAAGGCATAGACGGAACACTGAATCTCTCTCAAAAATCTCTCTTACTTTTCCACGCTCAGCGTTAAGCAGCTCTGACTGGAAAATCCTCTTCCAGAGATTTCATGAAGTGTCTAGATACCAACAAAAGTAATCTAGAATTAACATTAAAGCCATGATAACACCTTTCAGCATGCAGTCAAAACTACACCAAAATCAGAATTTATACGTTGACAATAGCCAGTTCCTTTACATATTGTTAGTGCATGATTAATTTATATCATAAATGAACATGATGAATACTGGTCACAAATGCAGCTGGTCATGATGAAGGGCATGAGGGGTGACCACACTGATGTAAATGACTAGACATTAGGGGTGTAGCGATCCATTGATATGGATTGATACATCGATACGATATAGGCATCTTTATTTTGGCACGGTCCACATTTTCACACAATGTCCGTCTATACATTACTGCCAACGCATGCATTCTCCTTCAAACTCACCTGTCAGGGCTCGATAATGAGGCGAGCATAACGCTCGGGACAGTTGATGGAAGTGTCGAGTGCTGTGTGAGAAGTTTTCTGTGCTTACACATCCGAAGCGTGCACACACAGACAGCTGGGTCTCAGTCAGTGCGCAAATACTTGATTGAGGTCTCTTTTGCTTATTTTTGTGCTTGAATGAACAAATACAGACACAATTACAGCAAAATACGTGTCTTGGCAAATATCCTGTAAACATACTTGATTATATCTTAACGTAAACAATTGAGAAAGAAAACACGTGTATCAGAATACTGGATCTGCATTTTATCTTAAAGGGTTAGTGAGTTACCGTCTTCCGCCATTTTGTAGAGTACCCCAGAACGTAATCAACGTAATCAGTGTTGTTTATGTTCAGTAGACAGTGCGCGCATGCTGAACGTAAACAATTCTCATTACGTTGATTACGTTCTGGGTTACTCTACAAAATGGCAGAAGACGGTAACATGGGGAGAAGAACTGCTGAATAAATTATGTTATTATTGTTTTCTTTACGCACAAAAAGTATTCTCGTAGCTTCGTAAAATTATGGTTGAACCCCTGATGTCACATGGACTATTTTACTGATGTCCTTGCTTCTGTGCGTTAATCGTGGTAATATCATTGCTGTCTATGGAGGGTCAGAGAGCTTTCAGAATCAGATTCCATCAAAAGTATCTTAAATTGTGTTCCGAAGATGAACGAAAATCTCTTACGGGTTTGGATTGGAACGACATGAGGGTGAGTAATTAATAACAGAATTTTCATTTTTGGGTGAACTATCCCTTTAAAGGTTTATTCCACCCCAAAATGAAAATTTTGTCATTAATCACTTAATTAATCACCCCATGTCGTTCCAAACCCGTAAAAGCTTAGTTCGTCTTCGGAACACAATTTAAGATATTTTGAATGAAAACCGGGAGGCTTGACTGTCCCATTGACTGCCAAGTAAATTACACTGTCAAGGCTCAGAAAAGTATGAAAGACATCATCAAAATAGTCCATAAATGTTCATGTTATATATTTTGGATGCATTTGTGAGTTAATAAAACTAACTGTTTGTGTAAAATAGGCATATAATATCGATACATCGATCAATATACTTCTGAATCGAATCATATGGTAATTGTATCTTAGACTTTTTTGAGGTATCTGCAAATATCGTATCACTGGGTATGAGAATCGATATTATATCATACTGTGATGAAACGTCCGATTTACACCCCTACTAGCCATGATGTGCATGTACAACATTTTACAGTAAATGCCTCACTATTAATTTATTTCTGTTTAAAATGTGAGTGGAAAACAACTAGTTTATGCACTAGGCAAGTGTTAAATGACCAGTTAAGATATTTGGTCACTTGTGTTTGACATGATTTTTATATAGTTATATTTATGTGCTTCTTGCAGTTCTCCAGAGTGTAATGAGCAAGCGGATGCTCTGTTTACTTTCCTGCACTCTGTGTGTGATCTGAAGAGTGTGGAGCTGATCATCTTCAGTCTGAATCAGAGCTGGGCTCTCAGGATTCTCGCTCTCATCCAGGCCTGCAGCAGTCTGCAAGAAATCTGGTAAGACTGAGACGTGGTACAAAGCCAGTCAATGTTGGATTACTCAGTTATGAGTAATTGGCTTGCCAAATATGTTTCTTAATTTCTACAGAACGTGTTGTGTCCTGTCACGTCTGCCAGTTGGATTGCCTTTGATAGCCACCAGAGAGCACTCCTGTCTTTATCTCATCATGGACAGCATTTCCAATAATCCACTGCTTATTATGACTTATTATGCCTAAATACTTTAAGCTGTTTCTCATTAACCTTGTTAACTTTGCCTGTATAAGGCCTGTGTTTTCTTTCTGTGTTTTCACACATTCTCTGTGATGTCTTGCATGTTGTTGCACTGCATTTCTGAGTGTTCTCTCTGGCTACCAGTTTTATGGTTTTGATCTTCTGAAGACGTGCAGTTTTGAAACAGTTCAGTTTTTTTTTTTTTTTTTGCATAGATATTCTAGAGAAACATGGATGGCACTATCTTACAATGTTGCGCTTTGGTGTTCCAAAATTTACCAATAGTTGAGTACGATTTTGCCTGTTTATATTTTGTATACTTGTGTTTGCTAAATTTATTTGTCACACATTATTTACCTCATATTTACATTTTTATAATATACATTTAAATGCTTTATTTTTCTGCAGTAAATTTGAGTCCAGTGTGTTGCCAGTTTGATTCCAATGTGAGTTTTTGGGTGGGGGGACGCCAATCTATAATCTTGATGACAATGTTTGGACCAGCTCTGATTGCAGTTTTGAGTTCAGGTTTTTTTTTTTTTTTGCATAGATATTCTAGTGAAACATGGATGGCACTAACTTACAATGTTTGCGCTTTGGTGTTTCAAAATTTACCAATAGTTGAGTACAGTTTTGCCTGTTTATATTTTGTTTAGTTCTTTGTCTTGTGTTTGCTAAATTTATTTGTCATACACTATTTACCTCATATTTACATTTTATAATATAAATTTAAATGCTTTTATTTTTCTGCAGTAAATTTGAGTCCAGTGTGTTGCCAGTTTGATTCCAGTGTGAGATTTTGGGTGGGGGGACGCCAATCTATAATCTTGATGATAATGTCTGGACCAGCTCTGATTATTGTGACAACTATTTGCTTATTTGTCTTTGATTACATTGCTAAAATGTTGTATTGTAGTGTCCGTGCCACTGGTTTGCTGCCGGAGGTGGGACTCGAGTTACTGTATGAATCACTGACAGATTCACACTGCTCTGTGATCATTGAAGGGTATGTATGTATGTGCTCAATATCTGTGGATTTAACTTTTTATGCATTTACTGATACAAAAATTTGTTTTTAGCTTTATCATCGTTTGTTTTCAGATGCCATATCTTTAAATATAATTTTTTTTCTTATGCAATGGAATTCAGATATTTTTCTTAACCGTCAGGATCTAATTCAATTCTGACAGCTTGTCGGCAAGGTCTAACCGTGTCTAAAAATGTCCAAATGCTTTTTGTTGCCACTGTATATATTTCATTCTGTCTGTAGGCCAACCATCTCTGACTCTGAACAGTCTAGACTGAATCTTCAGCCGCTCCCAGTGTGTCAGTCTTGTGTTCACATTGTTGACTCTGATCAGTGGGTTCAGGTGGAGCCATCAGTCTGTACAGATGAAGGAGGCTCAGAGTTCAGGATCAGCACTCCGGCGGGTCGATTCGAGTGCAGCAGGACCAGAATGCGATGGGTCTGTGCTGGTGACGTCACTCTCCAGTACCGTGCAGTGGATGGACGTTCCCTCAGAGCAGATCTGGAGAGACTTCAGTGTGAGCGAATTGGTCCTGTGATTGATGTGACGGTGATCTCAGGGAAACTGGAGGAGGCCCATCTGCCTCATTACGCCTGTTTAGCAGAGTTGGACTGCTCTTTCACAGAAAGTGTAAAGGTCCTCAATGTTGAAGATGATGGATTAACCTTTGAATCAGTGGAGTTGACACGTTTTCATGCCAAAATACTCCAGCCATATTTTTCTCCTAAAACAGTTCTTATGAAACTAGGGATACCAGTGAAAGTGCACTGTGATCTACTTATCTTCATGACACACAAGAACCCCATCATTCTCCATGTGTATTTTTTCCCATCAGATTTAATTTTTAAAGAAAAAATTAAGGTTGAGGAAAAATCTAGTCAACCAATCAAATGTCCAAGACCTGAAACCCCACTGCGGATGATGAAACAACACAGTCTTGAGGTTCCTGGTGCTTCTGTCCAACCCGAAGAGATCAAATTAAGAGGAGACATCGATCCAAACTTCTTTAAGGTCAAACATCCTGTGGTCGATGACATCAAAATGTCTCTCAGCCGAGTGGATGATCCGAAATCAGTTTGGACTGCAACAATTTGGAAAGAAGAACTAGACAAAACAATTACAAGCAAAGATGCGTCTAGTTTGTTCCAACATGGAGAAATGCAAACAAAACCACAGGTGTCTGTCAACTTTGATAAAGTTAGGTTTTTTGATAGAAATTGGTGTGCTCTTATTAAAAGTGTTAAGAATGTGAACGCCATTGCAGACAAACTGCTTCAGGAGAAGGTCATTAATGAAGAAATGTATTCTAAAATCACACATCTGACTTCAACTAAGGAAGAAAGCATGAGAGAGATCTGCAGCAAAGTACGTAAAAACAGTGTCAGTGTGAAAAATCTCTTCATCTCTGTTATTCAGGAAGAGGAGCCCAGTCTTTTAAATCAGGGGTGTCCAAGCCTGTTCCTGGAGGACCACTATCCTGCAGAGGTTAGCTCCAACCCTAATTAAACTCACCTGAACCAGCTAATCAAGGGCTGTATCCGAAATTGCTCCCTATACCCTCAAATAGGGCATTTGAGGGGACATCCATTTTTAGTGGTGTCCGAAACCATAGTGGACGTTCTCGAGTGCACTCATTCAATCACACAATGCACCACAAAAACAAGTGTACAACCAGTGCACGCTCAACGGCTAGATAATACCCATAATGCACTGTGAGCACTGAATGAATTCCTGCATCCCACCAGAAGATAGCGCCCACAGCTGAATCATCCATCCATTCATTTTACAAAGCAATAGTCCACGGTGTAATACAGCACAGGTACAAATTGTAAATTGATTATTAAATTGTTTAACCAGAGTCTATATAGGCCTATAATTTCCTCGACAGAGTTCAAGATAAATCCTTTAATCTTATTACTGGAGCTGCCAGTTTCAAATGATTATTAAACAGCAAAAATTATTATTAAAAAGCAAGCACAAACTATGAAAAAGCGGCAGTCCTCAGAATTCACTCACTCGTTTTCATTCATTCCGTTAAGTGAACTGTATTAGTGGCCTAATGTAGGGAATAGTGAATGAGGGTATAGGAGGTGATTTCGGATACAGTCAAGGTCTTCAGATTTGCTAGATTCTTCCTGGCAAGTGTGTTGGAGCTGGTTGGAGCTCAAATCTGCAGGACATTGACCCTCCAGTAATAGGATTGTACACCCATGTTTTAAATGATTTGCATTTATTGGACTCTCAGCTTTAAAAGGTTAATGTGACCCACAAGTGCAAAGATCAATGCGTTTATATATTTTGATGCATTTCATTGTAAAATGTTTATAGGGAGAGTGGGGTACAATGTATGTGTAACTCCCTTGATCTACAAAACTTTTTTTTTCTCCCTTTTTTGTCAAGTGAGTATATATTTAGAAAGGGATCATCATATGCTGTGACTGAAAGGAGCACATGAGAAAAATGGTAAGCACGTTTTATGCAAATTTTTTTTTTCTTGGAAGGTAAAAAGAGTTTTATGTCAAATTAATCTTGGTCTAAGAATAAACATGCTGGTAAATTGCCATTGCACAAAACAATAATCTCTTTTAGTTATTTCTCTTAAATATTTTTTCTTCAATTTTTCACACACTCCCTATCTGTCTTGTCTGTCTATCTATCATGAATATGTTGCTTACAAAAGCATTAATACTCAGCTATTAACATAGCTACTTTTGAATGGATGTCAATAGAGAAAGATTCAGAAGCAGAATGGTGTAGTTATGGCATCTACCAGTACACAGTCTTCGGCCCCTGCACACACCCATTTTGCGCACGCTTCTCAATTACAAAACCAGGAAACTATTTCAACTTTTCTAGGCAAACACCTAAATGGTCTTTGTGATTATTGTCAGGTTTTAGAAACTAGAACATGTGCTTATTATGTGCAGACAGACAATGTGAAGAACAAACAGAAAACATGATTAAAGAATTAGGAAAAATGGGATTAACAAGAATAAAGGATATTAGAATGGGGAGTGAATGAACAAGCCAGAAGATGTATTTACAGAGTTTTAACAAGAACAGGGCTGATGAGAAGAATATATGATATAATAAACAGAGTAAACCAGGAAGATGGCAGTAGTGCAAAGCATTTGGATGCAAGCTGCTATTAAATGCCAGAGGAGAAGAATAACTTCTCAGTAGAGAAAGAAACTGAAACCTAGGAGTTGTTGAGCTGTTGTATGTCTCTGGGACCTTCATTTTAGAATGAAGTTGTATTAACACCTCTGATTGGCCATTGCCTTCAAGAAATCTCAAGCTGTCACGCCCATGGACTGTCTGTGTGTTTTTTTCCCCATGTGCTCCATGACCTAGTTTTCTCTATTGTCTTATTGCTTCATTTGATTCACCTGTGTTCGTTAATTATCCCTCGTTTAGTTCAGTGTTTATAGTGTTGTCTGCCCTATATTCCCTTGTCCGGTGTTAAAGTCATTTTGTACCTCCATGCTGTGTCCTTCATGTGTCTCCTGCCTGCCCTGAGCCTGGGCTGCAGCAGCGCCCCCAGATGGCGAAACGCTTCCCCTTTCCGAAACGTCAAGGTCCCCGCCCACGAGTTGTACTGGACCCCGAGCCGTCTAAACCATCCTGATGCGCTAGAGAGGAAGAGGAGGGGCTCTGTTCTCACCTCGGCCGGAACGCCCAGAAAAACAGCTCGCTTTCATCCTCCATCCCTCCGAGCACCTCTGAGCAATGGAGTTTTGTTTCCAGTGGGTCACGTCTTGCAGGTGTAGCGCGTACCCAAATGTTTTACCGCTGTGATAGCGGACCCACATACAAATAAAGAGCAAATCTCCTCTTCACACTCTCTCACACACTCACGCGAATGCAAGTTCCCCGCCTTCTCGGCGAGCTCTCATTCGCAAAAACAGATCCTCGTGCACATTTGCCCCGATGACTGGTTTTTGACGGTGGATCTGAGAGTTGCATACTTTCACATCCACATAGCCCCCTATCACAGACCATTCTTGAGATTCGCGTTCGAGGGAGTGGCCTATCAATATACAGTCCTTCCGTTTGGACTGTCTCTGGCCCCGCACACTCTCACGAAGTGCATAGATGTGGCTCTTTCCCCTCTGAGACAGATGGGAGTCCGTATTTTGAACTACCTTGACGATTGGCTGGTTCTAGCCAGGTCAGAACGGGAGTTGGCTGCTCACAGAGAGCTGTTACTCAGCCACTTAGAGCGCCTCAGGTTGATCATCAACCTGCACAAGAGTCAGCTGTTGCCCAGACAGCAAGCTGTCTTTCTGGGAACAATTTTAGACTTTGCCCAAATGCGGGCATGGATTACGCCGGAACGATCCCTGACTATTCAGCGATTGGCGGCGTCTCTCAAACCGGGGACGACACGCCCCCTAAAGGCTTTTCAGAGGTTGCTCGGCCTTATGGCGGCAGCCACCTCTGTGATTCCTCTGGGCCTGACTCACATGCGACCAATTCAATTGGGTGTCTCGATGGGACTGACCTCCAAAAGGAAGGTAGTAACGACGGACGCCTCCAACCTGGGTTGGGTGCTCTGTACAGGGGCAAACCGGCGTTTGACTAATGGTCAAACCTGGAGCAGCACTAACATATCAACTGCCTTGAGATGATGGCAGTTTTTCTGGCCCTAAAAACCTTCCTTCCGGCCTTAAAGGGGCACCACATCCTGGTCCGCTCGGATAACATGACAGTGGTAGCCTACATCAACCACCAAGGTGGTCTCAGGTCACGCTTCCTTCACAACTGGCTTGTCGCCTCCTGTTATGGGCACAGGGCAAACTCCTCTCACTGACAGCAGTTCATGTTGCGGGCAGACTGAACCAAGGGGCAGACATGCTGTCCAGAGACAATGTATCTCCAGGAGAATGGAGATTACAACTCACAATGCCCAATTTATTTCCCAAGACAGCTAGATGCCCTGGCTCTGGCTCAAAGCCTGTGTTCCACCCCACGCCTGGGGCGGCTTACTTTCTGGGAAGACCACCACTGTATCAAGGTTGTGGCCCCCTGGATGACCTCTCACCTGTTCCAGACAGGAATGTCCAACTCGGGTTGGGGCGCCCTGTTGGAGGGTAATCTGGCGTTCGGCTCCTGGTCAGCCCCGGAGCAACGCCTGCATATCAACTGCCTAGAAATGTTGGCGGTTTTCTTAGACCTGAAAACCTTCCTTCCAGCCTTAAAGGGGCACCACGTCTTGGTCCGGTCGGACAGCATGACGGTGGTGGCTTATATCAATCACCAAGGCGGTCTCAGGTCACACACTCTTTGCAGGATGGCTCGTCGCCTCCTCTTTTAGGCACACAAAGAACTCCTCTCGCTAAGGGCAGTTCATGTGCCGGGCAGATTGAACCTTGGGGCAGACATGCTGTCCAGAGGCAAGGTAGCCCCAGCCTTAAAGGGGCACCACGTCTTGGTCCGGTCGGACAGCATGACGGTGGTGGCTTATATCAATCACCAAGGCGGTCTCAGGTCACACACTCTTTGCAGGATGGCTCGTCGCCTCCTTTTTTGGGCACAGAGAGAACTCCTCTCGTTAAGGGTGGTTCATATGCCGGGCAGATTGAACCTTGGCGCAGACCTGCTGTCCAGAGGCAAGGTAGCCCCGGACGAATGGGTGCTACACCCTCAAACGTTTCAAGAGATTTGGTCAGTCTTCGGGAGGGCAGAGTGCTCTCTCTTCCTAGTGGCCCCGCTCTGGAGGAACCAGGCCTGGTTCCCAGAGCTAGTGCAGCTCTCAGCAGCAGCCCCGTGGCCCATTCCGCTGAGGAGGAACCTTCTCTCACAGGCGAAAGGCATGATTTGGCATCCCCGGCCGGAGCTGTGGAGCCTTCATGTATGGTGCCTCATGGCCCATTCCGCTGAGGAGGAACCTTCTCTCACAGGTGAAAGGCATGATTTGGCATCCCCGGCCAGAGCTGTGGAGTCTTCATGTATGGTGACTCGACGGGAGCTTAATCAGCTCCCAGTGAGAGTAAGCAATACCATTTTGGAAGCAAGAGCGCCATCTACAAGGCAGCTTTACAGCCTAAAATGATCGGTCTTCCTTAACTGGTGTTCTGCACAAAGTTTGGACCCGATATCATGTGACGTGTCCCACGTGCTAACCTTTTTGCAAGAGCTGCTGGATAAGGGGCGTGCCCCCTCCACGCTCAAAGTACTGTATATGTGGCAGCTATTGCGGCGAACCATTCTCTAGAAGCTGGCCAATCGATCGGCAGAAACGACCTGATCGTTAAGTTCCTTGCTAAAAAGAACATTATTTTGTGTATTTGGTGTAATGAAATGTGTTTATGCGATTTAAGGTTCAAAAAACACATTTTCCACATATTGTACATTATTGTTTCTCCTCTATGCCTCTATGCGTCGATTTTTACAAAGCTCATCGGTCTGAAAAGCGAGGTGTGCTCTGATTGGCCAGCTATCCAGTGCGTTGTGATTGGCCGAATACCTGTAGGCGTGGTTGACTCTTAACTTTTATAAAGAATATCTCTTTGGATTTGAGACTTTAGTCTTTGCAACTTTACAGATCTTCTTTATGCACCAAGAGCTTGTAACACTTCAAAAGGAAAGGAAAAATTGAAATCGCATCATATGATCTCTTTAATGCTTAAAACGGCCCTCCTCCTTGCCTAGGCATCAGTTAAGCGAGTGGGTGACTTGCAAGCGCTGTCAATCAGCGCCTCTTGTCTTGAGTTTGGGCCTAATGACTGTAAAGTAATTCTAAAACCAAGACATGATTATGTTCCTAAAGTGCTCTCAACTCCGTTCAGAGCTCAGGTGATCTCCCTATTGGTGCTCCCCGTTACAGATGGCGAGCAGGTTCTGAACATGCACTGTCCAGTAAGGGCTCTGAGAGTATAC